CGCGATTAACATATCTTCATTCAGCTGTGGCAACGAGTTTCGATCTATGCCTGCATGCAGCATTGCATATGTGTAGGTGCAGTATTCCGGCCCGATTTCGGCCAAGAACTGATGCATTCTCGCTGTGTCCTTGGAGGAGTAGTCAGCCATGCGTTTGAGATTTTGAGCTCGCGCTCGAAACGTTTCAGCAGAATGCCATTAGCGATGCCAATGTCATCGCGTAGATTGTCCTCGTTGAGCTTGAGCAGCAGATCGCCATCTACCTGGGATTCTTCGAATGTTTCACAAACTGTCCGAAGTTGATTTGCTTCACCCACTCTTGGACGTCTTCGACAGACCACAGCGGCACTTGCTGTGACAGTTTGTGCGGCACGGTTTCGCCGATTAGCCGTAGCGCTTGCGCCGCAAACTTTGAGGCAATTGCATTGGGGCAACTAGCTACAGTCTTGAGCGCTTCGATCGCGCCGATTTCTGAAATATTTCAGTGTTCCCTGGCCGCGCTTAATGCCCGCTTCCATGCAGAAATGGAAGGCAGCTAAGTTGCGCGCTTCCTCGCGATTCGAACTAAGCACGGCACCAAACGTTCCAGCCAATGTTTGCTCTGGCCGTGCGCGTGCGCCAGATTTGAACGTGCGAACTCTGAGGGGTCGTGTGTGGTGACGAAGGGCTCCACCAAGTCGAGGCAACCCGTCTTGATGACTTCAGCTTCGATTTCCTTATTGGCGACTAGCACGGCGATCGCAAGGCAGGCGTAGTACTTGATGTTGTCGTCATCGTGGAAGGCCAACGGGAACAGCCACATAGGCACTTGGCGTGAGATCATTTCCTCTTGATTTTCGGCGCCACCATACAAAGACAAATTGGCTAAGGCACTTGCGCAATGTCTCAGAGTTTCTACATCACTTGTACGACATTCGAATAGCACGGCATCCAAGCCACCCAATTTGATGACATCTGAGCACGTGCCTTCCGAGTGTTTAAATAGATGCTCCAGTATGCCGGTACCCACGCGCGAATACTCGGTATTTCTCGTGCACTTGCAAGCCACATGCACCACTTTATCGAGTCCATTGTCCACGACATGTGTGCGATTCTCTGTGGTGAGGCACTGCTCCAGCAACTTGGCCGAAGAGAAGATGGTTTTCTCATCGCCCTGCACGCAGTTCTTCATGAGCAAATCCAGACCGCCATTTTTTCGCAACGAATTGCACAAACTGTAGCCGAGCTCATGTCCGTGTGTGGGCACAGCCCAGGCGCGCTGCATAACTTCATTGATCTTTTCCAAATACATGGATTTCTCCTGGGCAGCCTTGGAATCTTCCAGCGTGTGCACGAATGACTGCAATACACCGGAGTACTTGGCAATTGCCTGCTCGATTTCACGCTGACCACTACCGGACGTCAGCGCTTTCAAGTCGTCCAACTTAAGATCGTGCAGCTTGATGAGTGCGCCGTTGGTGGCGGACATTTGCGAGGAGGTGGAAATCATGCTGCTGCCCGAACTGGAAACGCCTTTATGCGTCATTGTGTAATTCGCTTGCGATGCGGACGAGACGTGCTTCTCCTGGCTGATGATGCCGTTCGAGGTCATCGTCTGTGATTGCTGCGATTGTGAGATGGCTTTCTTGTCGGCGGAGAAGGTGTCACTTTGCACTTTAATACTGGCGGCGGCCACATTATTGCTAGCCTGTTGAGTAATATCGCCAGTGCGTAGCGAAAGGGCTTCCTGCAACGGGAAAGAGAAGTGATGTGCATTAATATACAAGTAGCTGCGTAAATGTGTTCGAGTTTTTACATAAAGGTTTGATAGCTTTGAGGAAGGAAGAGTTACCAAAAAGTAGAGGAAAAAATAATGTAAAACAATTACAAGTTGGTGACAAAGTTAATGGCACATCGAATGGAAACGCATTATATTACAAACTTATGTACGCAGGATGAAGAGAACAACTCCTATGGAAAAGGTTAAAACGTCGCACTCAACCCTTATTTTGGTTATAGTTATTTTCAGTAAAAGAACTGAACAAACGCAGTTAGAGAGAGCACCCCACTCTAGTATCTTTGTTAAGAAGCAGAGCTATTAACGCCGAATTAGGCTCCCAAAGCAAGCCCCAATATGCAGTGAGTGGCTCCCCGGCTCCTCAGAGGGAGGAGTACGTTTTCTAGGCTATAATTGTTCACTGTATAGAAGGGGTCTCTTAGGCAGGGTGATATGTATTGGAGTTATTCTAAAATCCAAATTTAATTTGAGGCTGCTAATTGAGGAGCGAACAAGAAAGACCGCGGGGCCCTCTACGCAGCCTAAAGAATGTTTTAGTCCGACCTATAGTTTCATTTGGGGCGCTGGTCTATTGAGAAACTCAGCTGAATCAAGAGGCAGACAACGGGAGGAGGGCAGGGAATGGCGGAAAAGAGATTCAGAGCATCGGAGGCTATGAACGGTCTGCTCGATTTAGTATTGATAGTTATTTATAAAAAAAAAATTCACCTGTTATGGAATTTAGGTTACTGGAAAGGGAAGCCTTCTGGTTGGTTCCAAATGCCTGGACTAACCGCAAAAATACTTCACGCGGCGGACATAGGTGGACTCAAACGTTATCTTATAGGATTACCAGAAAAATCTGGAACTCGTACGACCCACTTAAAACCAGGACTCTCTAAATAATGAAGATGGAAATTACCTACAAATTTGGCATACATTTCAGAAGGCGCAAGAGCCCGCAGGCACAAGAACCCGCACTTAAAGCGACAGTTGAACACTTTTTCAGCGAGTATCCGGCTCTTGCAAGAATAGAATTACAGAATAATTCCAAGTGGCTGTAGGTTCGTTAGCGTATATGGTTCTGCCTATTGTGGCCTCAGTCCGAAAATAGGTGAACTCGTTGAAGACTGGTCGATATCGACAGCCTGCATGTTGGCTTCAATCTACAATTGGTGGTACAAACAACTGGCTCTGATTCAAACCATGACATGATAAACTACTTGATCACTTCAAGAGGTTGGGACGACGAAATACTATAAGGTAAAGCCTTTTGGAAGCGATTCGAAGAGAAACAAATGACGATTTCTTCATAATCAGTTCCAATAGAAACAGACACAAAGAACATGAAATCCAAATATATTATGGACCATATGAAGTCTGACAAGCTGCCCAAGGGGTTTGTAGAGTTTCAGCAAAAAAAAAAAACAAGGACTGATAAGATATATATGGAACATTAAAGCTTGGAGACGACCCAATTTACATATTCAATTGTTCTTTTTTTTCTTGTTTGGAAAAAGTTGCCTTTAGGATTTCTTTATTAGCAATGAGTGTAGGCAGGTTTCTCTTTCCATTTTTCACACACAACCCAAATAACTTTTGAACACCGTTGACTAAATCAATCGTTTTCGTGTACCTTATTCTGTTCGACTTCGATGGGTATTTCGCGAATATTTTTCATAGCACCACCACCTGTTGCAGTGCTGCTTAGATTGGGATTACTCGAATATGTACCGGATGTGGAGCTGTTGTTGTGTATGTTGGTTAATGTTGTTGTTGTAGAATTTCCTGCTGATGACTGTGGAGATGCCTGTTGTTGTTGTTGCTGTGTTTGTATGTGTGCGTGGGGTGGCAGTGGCGGCAGTGACGCAATTTGCGACGATGAGCTAAAATGCTGAAAGGGTGGACAAGAATTTTTACGTACAGATCGAGTAGCAGAGCCCGCCGATGCGGAGGAAGACGAGGACGACGACGATGATGATGACGAAGCGGACATACGCGCCGCTGAGGCCGATGCTGACGACGAGGATTTCGATGAAGATGAGGACTTCGATGATGACTGCGTTTGCGATTTAGATGCAGCGGCGGCGGAGGTGGAGCCGGCAGCAGACACTGATGAGTTCTTCGTTGTGGCGGCAACATTGTCATTGGGTGGACCGGCGATCACTTGTATGGGCTGTGGTGGCGGCGAGAGCGGACAAGTGGGCGAGAAGCGGCTGATGGGCGTGCCACCGTTGCTGGTTATAATCGGCGGTGGTGAAAGCGGCATCTCCACGATGGGGCTGGGCGAACGGGCCGGCACGAAATCCGATTGGCCGCTCGAGCGGAAAATACCTTTGCGTACGGGCCAAGGTGGGTGATGGGACATTTTTTGTTTGCTATTCGATTTTTTATTTTGTTTTGTTTTGGCACTAATTGTGTTTCCTATTTTTGTTTGTTTTTTTTTCGATCGCTGTTTATTTTTGTTATTGTTGTATTAAGTGAGTGTGTGTGAGAGCTCTTTTTTTTTGCAATTGCTAAATAACGAAATAAGTGCAAAATTGAGCAGTCAGAACACCTGCGCTATTCACACGAAATTCCACACATTTCAACGGTGCAATGTCAGGTGTAAGAAAACGGCGCGCTCGCAGAGGATTTCGCATTTCGAAAAGCAGTCTAAGAAAATTTTGCACAATTTTTATATTTTTTTTCAAATGTTAATAAAACATATAACACAAATTATGTATGCCTTTATACAAATATGTATGTCTAAAGTAATAATTAGCATATGAGGAGGCGTTTTGCCATCGCGATTTTGTGCGTCTGCGACGGTGTTGCGGTGCGGCGCGATTTGGAACCGCATAAACATACGTCAACACAAGCGATTTTGCTGTTGTAGCGAAAAAATAGAAATTTAATTTATTTATATACATTGTGCTATATTATACATATATGTATGTACGCTTGTGTGTATTTAAGCCGCTTTATTATTGTCTTTTCATGGGTCAGTTAAGAAGTGAAAAATTAGTTTCTTGCGATTAGCTACGCGTGCGCTTCACACTCAGCAGCATATTGACGTGGAATGTTAATGATTTGTATAGACTTTTGAGTACAAAAAAAAAATTAAATAGGGAAAATAGGCATTTTATATACAACAAAGATTGCACATAGTTTTATTTAGAACACAAGTGTGAACAACACAAAGAGACTTGGGAAGAAAATAAATATTTTTTTGCTTGTTTTGACAGCTTACGTATGGGTAATTAACGGAGAGTTTGTAACGCCTCATTTTGTTGAGTTCTTAAATTTTATTGTGTATAATTTTTTACTGTTTCTGTATTTATTTTTAATTAACAACTGGGTGTTGAGCAGTTATTTTAAATTAAGCATACAAATTAGCCCAAGTATCCCCTTGTTTTCTTTGGGAAAATAATTTTTAATATCAATGATCTATTGTGGTTTTTGTAATTTGTTAAAAATAAGCAAGCTATTCAGATTTGCGACTTTCGTTAAGCTCCGTGACAAGCTTTCACTAGGCACAGCAACTTTCATTAAGTTTAAACACTTTCTTTAAGTTAGGAAATTTTCGTTTAGTTTGGCGACTTTCGTCAGGTTTGGAAAAATTCGTTAAGTTTATAAACTTTCGTCAAATTATAAATAATAACGAACTTAAATTTAAAATCATAATCTAAATTGAAAATCTAATTCAAAATCAAATCTTTCGCTTGGAAATAGATTTGAATTAAGATTTATGCAACTTATAATTTAGTACCTTGAACTCGTAAACTGATTTTAAAAGATACTTTAAGTTTGAAGAGTTTCGTTAAGTTTGAAAATTTTCGTCAAGTTAAAAATAACAATGAAATTACGCCTAAAATCGTTATTTAGGTTGGTAATTTTATTAACA